TAAATATTAATTATTTCTTTATTATAAAGTAATTAGCCTAAAGATATAATAATAAGGCAGATTTTATAAATCTTAAAAGCTAACTTTATTATAATAATATATAAACCTTATCTTTCTTAAAGCAGGCAGGGAGATAGTAAATATAATATAATTAATTATTAAACTTTTAAACATTTATTAATATTATTATAATCTGCTTTATAATATTTACTTAAGTTTTTCTTATTATTTTCTTTATAACTTTATTATAAAAGACCTTCTAGTCCTTTAAATACTTTAATAAATATTTTATTCTTATTATTACCTCTTATAGGCATTTATAGCTATTACCTTTACTTTAGCTTTATATTTACATAATCTAAAGGTATATAAGTTTAAGAATCTTATTAACTTTATTAAAAACTTGCTATTCTTTATTAAATAATATATTATTTACTAGGATTTATCTTACTTTATTTTCTTTTTCTTAAGTTATAAAGATATATATTTTAATATCTATTTACTTTTATAAAGCCCTCTTAATTATTATATAAGTAAAGTTTTATTATATTTATTATTTATAATAACTTTAAGCTTGGCTATAAATTCTTTGTAAAGTTAGTATTCCTTATAATCCTATTCTTAGATAATTTATTTAAATTATTTACTTTATTATAATAATAAATAAATAAACTTAATAATATTATAAAGCTTCCTAATAGGTCCTTTTATATATTAATAATCTAAGTCTTATTTAATAAAATTATATATTCTATTAATATTAGACTTTAGCTTAAATAACTTAATATCTTTATTAAAAAGAAAGGCATATATAATTAGATTAAGTATATGCCTATAATATTATATCTAGCAGGGTTTAATATTAATAAATCTTATTAATAAATTAAGCCAGTAATATATATAATATAAGTAAGTATTATTTATTATTATATTATTAGAAATAGTATAGCTAATATGCCTTTTAATTTCTTATTTATAAATAATATTAATTAAAAAACTAATAAGGTTCTTATTACTATAAGTATTAAATTAATAATATAAAGCTAGTAAATACAATTATTAATAACTTAATTAATTTATAAAATATATAAATATAATTATAATTATAAAGTAATTTAATAATATTTAAAAGTTAAAGCTAATATATATTATTATTAAAGTATTATAAAGCTTTACTTTAATAGTATTTTACTATACTTTAAAAAGTTAATATATCTCTTTAATAATAAAATTACTATTTTACATTATTTAAAGTATTAAATTACTATTAAAATAATTAAAAATCTTTTAAAGAAAGTTATACTTAAAAATAATAAATAATATATTACTATTAATATTAAAGCTAATACTTAATTCTTAGATAGCGTTTATTTTTACCCTTAATATAGCGCTCTGTTTAAGCCAGTGCCTTTTTAGTATTATATTAAAATAAATATTAATAATACCTTTATTACTAGGATTTAACTTATTAAATTAGCTAAATAGGGTAATTTAATAAGCTTTATATAGGTTTATTAACTATTAAATATCTTATTAATAAGTTAAATAAAATAAATATAGACTTTTAAAAATAGTTTATTATAAAAAATATAGCTTATATTAAAAATAACTTTATTATGCCTTTTATATTATATTAATTACAGTATTAAATATAACCTATTAGTATTTCCTAATAATTTAACTTTATTAAGAAGGTCTTTTAAAACCTAATTTAGCTTTTCCTGCCCTTTATACCTTTTTAAGCTAATAAATCCTTTTAAATAAAGTAATAGTTCTTATAGGTAATTTTAAGTAGATTCTTAATAATTAAGTTAGGAGGTAAAGCTCTAATAGCTACTTCTTTTAATTACTTAATAACTATTTTAAGCTAAGATAATTATAAGAAGATAGAAGAAGGAGGTATAAGATAAGGTATTAATATTATTAGCAGAAAGCTAGCTAGTAATAAGGAGAGTAATAAGTTTAATATCTTAGCAGTAAAATAGAATAAAAACTATATATAAAAAGGATTATTTTAATAGTATAATATAGTTAGAAAATGCATTTTATATTATATATATATAATAAGGTTATGTATTAGATTATAATAATATATACTTAGCTTTATTACTAATTCCCTTATTATTTAAAAATAGACTTCTATCTATAACTATCTAGTATAGGGTAGTAGCTTAGGAAGATTTAGATTTTCCCTTAAGATTAGATAATTAAATAATATATATATAATATATTAATTATTTTAACTTTAGAAATATATAATTTAATTTAATTAAAAGGAAGAATTTAACGATTTAATTGATTTGATTGGGGTGATTGATTAATTGAGTTAACATATAATAAGCGCTGCTTATCCCTTGTGCTGTGGAAAACCTCCCGCCAGGTCACAACAGGGGGGTGCAGCCAATTAAAATGCATCGGATCAAAGATACCTAACCCCCCCCCTATTTTAGCCTATAATAGAAGTACCAGCAATCTCTCGAGTTATATATCACTATATCATACTGCTTATATCCCTAAATTAATTAATGCCTTTATTTATTATAGCCAACCAGGGCCAAGGGCCTCCTTATACTTTTTAACCTCGGCTGCCCTAATTAAAGCCCTTTATAAGCAAGGCAATTTGATTTTTTCCTTCTTTAAATATACTTATATTATGCTACGGTCGTAAATTCATCTCTGGCTCGAAAAGTCTGCCTTAATTAGCTTTACAGATAGAAGGTCTTAAAGACCGCATTATATATGCATTCCCTTTACTTCTTCTGGCTTATATAACGCTTCTAAGTAGGCTGCTTATATAGTTATAAGAGGAAGCTATTTACTAGGAATATTTAATAAGAAGGTCTATGCAATAGCCTGCTAAGCGCCCTAGCAGATAGGATAATTATAGCCTAAATATAACCTCCTTTAGTTGCCTTAGTTAATATAATTTATTTTATTATTATAAGAAGCCATAATAGTAAGGATTAATATAAGCTTAACTGGCTTATTATTAAAAAAGCGCTAAATTAGCTATTTTATTAATGTCTTTATTAATAGTTTCTTTTTCTAATAATTATACCTCTTATTACTAGTAAAGATAGTTAAAAGGAGTAATATAAGGGCATTATCTTTTTAAGTAATTTAATTAACTTAAAGAAGAAGAAAATAATAAATTATTAGTTAAATTATAAAGAAAAATATTAAGTCTTTTTACTTAATTATTAGCTATTAAGATTAAAAGCCTAACTTCCTAGCCTTATTAGCCTTTTTAATATCTATAAGACCTTTATAAATACTATAATTAGGCCGGGCTGTACTGGTTATACTATGGCTATGATAATAAAGGAGTAGAAAAAGTCTAGTAATAAGAAGAGGTTATTTATAAAGATATAATATATTAACTCTAGTAATAGGTTAATAAGGGTAATAATAATACTTTAAGTTAAGTTTAATATTATAATCTTATCCCTAGCTTTTATAATAATATAAATAACTTTCTTAACTTTATTAGCCTTATTAAAAACCCTCTATTAGCTACCTCTTCCCTTACCTTTCCTCCTCCCTTATTATAATACTAGGTTCTTCCTATTAATACTTTAAGGGTAAAGAGCAACAATAAAGAAAGGACTATATAAGATAATATCTTTTAACACTTCTTAACTATAAGCTAAGTATAGACTGCCAGTTAGGTTTAATTAAGACAGGGTCTTTATTATAAGATAGAGAATTAAATAATCAGTTTAATAGTATTACATATAAAGGAAAAAGAATAAGAATTAAGTCTAAAGAAGCCTCCTAAAAAGCATTCCTTAAAAGCATTAGGAAAGTCTTCCGTCCTAAAGGGATATTACCCTTTTATACCTTATTACTATAGACATCTATCTAGCCCTACTAACGAGCTTAGACCTCTTACCCTGGAATGCTTGCCATAACCATCACAATACTAACTAGACTGTATTTTGCACCAGGCTAGTACTAAATCTATCTTATAAAGAGGCCTAGCTAGGTAGCTATTTAGACTTTAAGGCCTGTATTAATAGGCTTATTAAGGGTATATATAACTTACTTATTCCTTCTAGTATATTAAATTATGCCCTTATTTATAATAAGATATATACCTAAATTATAAAGCTTTATTATATAAGTTAAATATATTAAGACTATTACTTAATATATTAAAAGATAATAAGAAAGTTATTATTATTAGTAAATTTAATATATTTAAAGAGCTAGAGGTAATAATAAAGGAGTTAGAATTAATTATAAGTTATAAACTTAATTATTAAGTATTTAAGCTACTAATCCTCTAGCTAAGAGGTCTTCTAATAGTCTTTAACTAATATTTTACTATAAACTCTTATATAAATAAGGATCCTAAGCTAGATATATATCTCTATAACTATAATTAACTTCTAGGCATAGAGGTATAACCTTTCTATTATTTTATATTCTTAGCTATTAATAATACCACTTTAAAGTAGGCTATTAACCTCGTTATTAATATATTTAACTTAGCTATTAACTATAAAAATAGGTATAAAGTGTTAGAAAAGGAATAGCTAGTTCTTAAGTAATTGCTTAATAATAATCTCTTATTGCAGTACTTAGAAAGGTTAAAAATCGAAGCCTTGGTCTTTGGCAGGCAGAAGAGCTGGTCTCTAGGTGCTATTATCTTTATGCTCTTAAAGGCTATTATCTTTATTAATAAAGCTATTATTATTATATGTATTAAAAGCCTCCTTTAATATCTCTATAGGTGCTAATTAGGAAGTTATTAATTAATTTAAAAGAATTTCTATAGGGATGTAAGCGGAATTAATTAATAATGCATTATATGGTTCCCCTTATATACCTCTTAAAAGTTGGGGCGGATATGGGGCTCGGTATGGCCGGGAGGTTTTCCACAGCTCAAGGGATAAGACGCAGCACTTACTCTACACACTCAAGCGCGCAGGCTCTCCCTTTCCATAAATACTCTTGCTCAGTAGTTCTCATCCTGCCCAATTTCCTCAAAGTCCTCCATGGCTTCCACTAGAAACACTGTTTGGGTCGTGACTGGCGGCAACAGAGGCATTGGCCTTGGTCTCGTCAAAGCTCTCCTTGCTCGCCCCTCCATCACCGTCATTGCAACTGTTCGTAATAAACAAGCCCGCTCAGCTATTAGGAGCGCTGTTGCAGATCTTCCCAAGGGAGACGGCACGGCCTTCAGCATCATCCAGCTTAACTTCGCTACTGCCCTCGGCCCTAAACAAATTCGCAACGCATTTAATATTAATCATGTTGACGTTCTTATTAACAACGCTGCCGCCAACTTTAAGCCCTATCTTGCGCTCGAGATACCAACCGATGGCCTCCGATCCGCCTTCGAGATAAATATAATCAGGCCACTTACAATGGCCTAGGGACTTTGGCCATTATTTTAAAAGTTATCTGCACTAAATGTAGTCAACGTCTCGTCTTCTGTTAGCTATATTAGCTATTATGAAGTTATTGCTGGTATATATAGGCCTAGTAAGGCTGCGTTAAACTGGCTTATGCGCGCTCCTTATCTGCAGAATAAAGGGCTTATTGCTTTTGCACTCTATCCTGGTTTTATTACTACAGATATAGGGAAGTCTGCTGCTATAAAGTAGGGATTTCCCTATGCTATGCTCGAGAGTGTTAAAGGAGCCGTAAAAGGAAGTCTTAAGATAATTGACAGCGCTACACGGGAGGCTGTTTCAGGCAAGTTTGTCAGTTACAAAGGACAGGAGCTTCCTTGGTAGACTTATTGTTATTAGACATATCGAGTTACAGTCTCTCTGTAGTGGAGGCGACCTGATTGATATTGTTTATAACATGTAAGGAAAGGAGTAAAACTTGAATGCTATTTTTTAATATATAAGAATTGACTTCTATTATATTAAGAGTTGTCTCTTTACTTCCTCATAGCCAACCTTTTACCTCAGCTTTCCCGTCTTCATCTACTTCGCCAGTATTAAGGAGGAGCTCCGCCATCACTCTATCCTCCTGTCTAAATGCTAGGCGTAACGGAGTAACCCCGTCTTGTCCAGTCATATTGACGTCAATTGTGCCCGTGCCGAGTAGGACTATGACCATGTCGTAGTATTGATTGCGGACAGCTTCCAGGAATGGTGTGGTTCCTGTTTCATCTCTTTCGTTGACCAGTCCAGCGGTATCCTCGTTCGATTTTAAGATTGTGCGTATCAATTCAACCTGGTTCTGCCTGACAGCATCGAGGAACGGTCCCCTTGAGATAGCAGCGCGGTTTCCCTCTCGGACAAAAAAGAGCGCAAGATCAAACAGTTGGCGTTCAATGGCTGCATCCAAAGCTGTGACACCAAAATCATCTGTCAGTTGGACTGCTTGGGGCGAGGAACGTAGCAGAACTCTGGCGGTTTCCAAATGCTGATTCCTTGTGGCAGCCAATAAAGGAAACACACCGTGTCGTCCTCGGATCGCTAAAGAAGAACCGTGAGAGAGCATAATGTTAATTGCCGATAACATGCCTTTCCTTGAAGCAAAGAGGATCGTTTCGTCATACTCTTCGGCCTCGTGCTCGTCGTCGCTCTCCTGGTAGTAGATCACTTCATTTTCAAAGCTGGGACCTGCGAACTTCTTCGAGCTAGCACCTGCCTGCCATAGATCAGACAAGATATGGTGCAAAGTCTGATCGTGGTGCTCAGTTTGACTCATAACTTGGACTGTATAGAAGGGCGCCCCATCGAGATTTGCACCTTTTTCCATCAGCCGTGACAGAAGCATTCTATTCCTGCTGTTGATGGCGTGAAACACCAACCCTTTTTCGTACCGGACATCGGCACCTGCATTGATCAAGCTTTCGATTGCCTTTTCAGCTCTTATAGACAACGCCAGGCTCAAAGGTGCCTCGCCATCCACATTCCTTGCATTGACATGCGCAAGGTAATTTCTTCTCTGTATCCCATGGTTAATGTGACCAGCAGTTGGATCATGCTGCTCAGTCTCTCTTTGCCAAGCCATTGAACGAGACAACAGCAGAAGGGCCAGGTCCTCGCGATTTTCTCTGAGACTAAGATGGAGTGGTGTGTTTCCCTCTGAATCTCTTGAATCCAGCTCCACTTCGTCTCTCAGAAGGGATTTATCTAATAGACTGGCCGAACCAAATCCTACAACGATGTGCAAAAGGGTTGCTCCTGGAAACGGCCATCCATGCGGTACATGCAAACTGTAGGGTCCCATTACTCTCCATAGAGTCGCAAGCATCTCGACGGTCTTTCGGTGACCCCATGGGACGAGGGATAGGAGATCACTCTGATCAATTCCATCTTCTTCAACAGTCCAAACATGGTAAAAAAGAAAAGACACCCCATAATGCAATAATGGAAACTTTGTCGTGAGTTGACCTCGATCCAGATTGTCGCCTTCAAGAATCTCTTTCAGGGTCAAATACCTGAGACAAGACCTCGAAATCCCGTAATGCCCGGCCCCGATTGCCGATTGTGCGTTAGGCCCAGTGTTAGCCATGTGGAGGAACCTTTCCAAAACAAAGTCCGCGGCCGATTGATGGATAAATTGAGCTTCCCGGTTCCATTCCTCTCCTTCAGGCTCGTACTGTTCCCAGGCGTCTCGCGTCTGAAACTCAACTAGGCCTCTGGATATATGTCGAACCCGGCTCTCGAATTGGGCTACAGTATCAGACCAGTATCCATGAGATCTAAGCTCTCCAATCGTTGCACAAGTCATATCCTTATCAGTAGCAAGAGCCTCCCGAAGCTCTTGTGCACACAATGGCCGCTCTGCAAACAAAACCCATTGAAACAACTTTGTTATTTCCGCTTGCATATCCTTTGTTGCACCCTTCAGGATGTGATCGTATAGCTCGTTGAGTTCTGGTGGGGTAGTCGATATCATTCTTAGTAGATCCTCGGTTCTTGCGCCAGATGCGTCTTCATCGAGTATCATGCTAGTGATTAGTATCGCCCAATGAAATCCTCCGTGAGCTTTCAACAATATCTCGTTCTCAAGTTGTCGACGTCTTTCATCTGGTCGAATGTCTTGGAGCCTGTCTTCAACGACCAGTCTGATGTCCTTATCATTTCTCTCTTCCACATAAACTCCCGACATCGTCTCAAGCGAGAGGACTGGAAAATGCCTTGAGGAAAAGCATATCCTGACCATAGATTGTCCGCTCTCGGCATCAACCGTGATGCCTTTGAAGTATGTCAGTAGGTGTTTGGCATGTTCCTCTCCGCACTCATCAAGCGCGTCAACGAATATCACCACTGGTTGTTCTTTCGTTCCCTCAAGTAAAAGCTTAGACAGAAGCTTCTCGAGCTCTTTCTCATTCCAGCGCCATCCATTCTTCTGTTCGTACGATCCATATCGCTGCTGTTGATCTTGAAAACGTCGCGTGAGCTCAATAAGGTATGTTGGAAATGACCTAAGTAATGAATTGAGCAAAGCATGAAACATGCCCAAAGGCGTTCTTTGTAACGGTGTTCCTCGCCCATAGAAGAAAAATGACACGACAAGCTCTCCAGTCTTTCTGCGGTTCATGGTATCAGCAGCAAACTTCAATAGGACGGATTTACCTGTCCCGGGAGAGCCCTTGATCCAGAAGAGGCCACGGGGGTCATTCAACCATTTCTGGTATTTCAAATCTTCAAGAAGCCATTCACATGTGTCATTGGCATAAGTAACATCGGAGTATCTATAATCTTGCTCAGGAAATGATAACGAACGCAGACATTCTATAATGAATTAGCAGTTTGTCACAGAAAGCTCTCGGTTTTCGTACCTGTCTCATCGCCCGAAAGGTGATCGGAAGCTGAAAGAATGTTAGTATGTTGACCATTCATTCCTCGCTCTCCGGCTCCGAACCTTGTGGTCTTCCTCTTATACCTTCAGGACCAGGCCATCCTCGCGAGGTGCCTAATACAGAACGAATGGCAATTATCACCCGCCGGTATAGTTGGTCATGTACGCTACTGTATTTTACCATCTCAGAGTGATTGCGGTTGATCGGATGCTGATTTTGGCTACCAGATGTTGCTGAGGAAACTTCAACTAACACTTCGCTGGGACCAGATATCTCCCACTTGCCATTAACCTAAATCAAGGGTCAGAAAGCATAGAAACCTTGACGTGTAGACGAACTTACCCAAGCCGCTGTAGGGGATATTTCAGTCTCGTAAAAAGACACGATAGAAAAGCTCCTTGCTTGCGATATTTTATCGAACTCAACTTGCAGACGTTCAAGAAGGGGAGAATTCTTGTTGAGTGACTCAAGAAGCGCCCGGTTGGGATAATCTTTTACCAAAGGAACAAGGCACTCAGCCGCTAGACCCCGATGAGGAACACCAAAAAATGCGAAGCCGCAGATGGAGTTAAGGACTGATGTGTCAGCGTCAGGGGGTTCGTCTTTCAATGTACGAACGGTCTGCGCGCATGTCGGTAAGTATGGTATACAATGTGGACTTGGATCACTAACCTCTTTGATGACAAGGCCTCCTAGACTGTGCCCCATGAAAAGTGTTGAACGCGGTTTGTTTGGATCCTGAAGGAAGTGTTAGTTACAGAAATAACGAAACAACAGTTATGGTTCAGATACACGAATGTCTTCCAAGTCGATTTGCAATGCTCTTCCCAAGTCTGTCAAGCTTTGAAAGGCTGTACTCTCAACAAGCTGAGTGTCATAGCCGTAGGTCAAAATCCTCGCATTCGGGATATCTGACGGTAGAGCATCTCGAATCCAAACGAATGGGCCATTCTTTTCTTTGAAGGAACCTAAGGCATGCCCCCCAAGACCGCATACTGCGATCACACTAAACATACGTGTCAATAGTCAATCCCGAGTGCACCGGTGCATTTCGCTCGTCCACTTACTCTACATGACAATCGTTATCGCTCGTCCGTTGAAATGGCGTGAAGCCTGCAAAGTGTGTATCAAAAACAAGAGATCTGCCGAAATCGAAATTGTCGTCTTCTGATAGCTGAAATATCCACTCGTCCTTAGAGCGATCTGATAAAGAATTTGGGATAGATGGGAAGCTAATTGTAGCTATTTTGCTGTTTTTATCGGTAGGAGAAAGCGCAAGCGAGTAAACAGTAGGGCTTGCACTAGGCTCGAGTGCAAGAGTTTTCTGAATAAGGCTGCGAACCTCCTTCCTAGACTCGTACTCAAGTGGAATGCCTCGTAGTCTAAAGTTCTTATGGGTCGGCTTTGGCGTGCTGAAGCGTCTGAGATGGTCTAGGACTGGGTCATCCTGACTGTTCAACTGTGGTCGGCGTTGATTTCCTTCTTCGATGATAGGCGTCCAGTCCACTAAAGCCTTACTGGATTCTCTAGCACTTTCTGAACTTGTAGGGCTTGGAACCCGCGAAGGAGTGCTTTCGAATTGCGACAAGGGCGTATCTCCGATTTCCGACTTATTGTCACGATCTGGATGAGACCCGAAGGCCGATTCGGCAGGTATCCTGCTCTCAATTTCAAATTCACTGTCAGAATCCGTGGTTTGAATATCCATGAGTCTCAATGATATAATCATCAGATGCTGTAGGTGTGTAGCAATGTGGGTTTCCATGGCCGTTGAGATAGATATCGGCTCAACTGGCTCTTCTTTTGATTCAGAAAGACTGCTTTCAATTTCTTCGGAGTCCCTAGCACTTGCGTCCCCCGTCGCTGGCGGATCATCAAATCGTAACTTCTTATCAAGCCTCTTTGTGGACTTCTTCATAGGGCTTCTATGGCGCTTCGGGTTTTCTACCGGCGACGCTGCATGCTGAGAAGTATGTGAAGAGCCCCCGTAGAGCTCCATACCCGCTGGAACAAGGTTGCAAAGAGGACAGACGTTGGGTGGGCGCGTGAAGTCAACCATGGAGACTTGAAGTTCTTGTTGTATTCCAAGTCCGCTTGTCTTCTCGAGGAAGTCCCCGTGCATACCTTTCAAGTGGCCGTAAAGGTGGTCTATGGTGGGAAATAAAGATTCACTGTTATGGCCATCTTGACGACACTTCCAGATAGGTTGCTTGTGAATAGTCTGGCCCCAGCAAGGGTCGTGGGATATCATGTGATCTTTCCATTCTCTAACCGATGGGAAACTTGGTAATACGTCGGCACAGTCCTCTGAAAGACAAGGAAATGGTTCTAGATCGACACGGAAATGTTTCCTAGAGAATATGTTATTCTTAGATGGTATTTCAATGATATGGGACCGATCCTCTAACCTTCCCAAGCTCGACCAAGAACCTCCTTCTACCAACGACTGAGGGATGTTGTTGAAGCACCATCTGCATTGTACTTCCTTTTCCCCATCAAACTGTGGTATTTGAGGCTCATGCGCATGTCTGAGGATGACAGTCGTACCGCCAGATTGTGATTTTGGTTGGTGAGTAGCTCGTTCTTTCTTGAACTTGCTCTGGTCGAAAGATGTGAGAGTAAATGCTGCTGGCTGCTGTTTTCCTCCGGTGGAGGATTCTGCTTCTATACGAGTTTGAACCGGCCTGTCTGTTTGGCCTTTGTTGGTTGTAGTGTCTCCTTCTATAGGAACGAGCATTAGGTTAGGATCTCTCTGTTCTTCGCGGACGTCGCGTTTCAAAATCTCGTTACGACGAGCCCTATATAGAATCCGGGAATAGCGGTCAACCATGCTCCGACTCAATTGCACTTGAAGGCTTTCGGGGGCATTTGGGTAGAGACCTTCCACAGCCAACAATGTCAAGAGCTTAAAAGCCGTCATTTCTCGATCTCGGTACATGGAAACGAACTTTCGGGCTCTAATAGTCTCGGTTGTTTTTGCAGATTTCCGAATAGCAACACCAAGATGACTAAGCCCCGTCAGAGCCTCGTCGATGCCTTCAAGAGGTATCGTAAGCAAATCAGAGTTATAAATTATCTGCACGCCGTCGTTTGACTTAACAGGCCGATTCTGCTCTGCTGATTTAACCGCACCTTGAATGTTAGGATGTCCTTGCACTACAAATGCTTCAGCTAAACATCTCAGCAGAGATGAAATTTGACCATACTTACAGTAGGCTAGATTTCTCCTCAAGATACGCAAGAAACGAAGCACGACATCTCGAGTTTCGTGGTGAGAATGAAGCCTTCTATCAAGGTTCGACTGCCTCTCGGAAAAAACACCTAGATGTTCCGACCAGGCTCGAAATCGTCTCTCATAGTCTTCGACGAGGCTTTTTACAGCGATTCCGTCGAAGTTGTAAGCCCTCAGGCATTGCTGAATTAGATCGTCGCATTCGCAAGCCAGGGAAAAGATGGGCTCTTCCGAGCCGTGCTGCTTTTCCTCATCACGCCGCTGCATCAGGAATTTCAGGAATTTGGTAGTAACTTGGGCCTTATAGTCTTCTCTTTTCTTGGGGATTAGTATTAGACCTTGGCTTGAATATGTAGGTCGTGTATTGTCTTGCCCAAGTGCGGGGTCAGACAATTTGATGTTATCGATGTAGTCAGCTTCAGTCATCTAAACGACTATGTCTATTTAACGGGGTCTGGCAAGCAGGGCGACCAGGATCTCACGTGAGAAAGCTACCAAATACAGCTCAGCTGAGATACTGAGGAATCCTCTCAATTGGTTCTACCCCACCTTATTCTTACCATAGCATACTTTTCGTGTCAGGTCCGCAGAGTTGACGTCTCGCACGTCTGAGCCTAGAACTTAGGATAACTATCATCCAAGCCTGCGATGTCATTGAATCACTATTCTGCTACTGGTTACCAGCAGGATTTGATCAAAATCCTGCGACGTCAACTACCGAAACTCGAAGATGAAGAAGAAGGAACTGAAATTGACGAGGCGTTCCTGAATCGACAATTATTCGATGCTCACCTGCGGCATGTAGTTTACCGCAACGACTTCGAAGATGAGGACATTGACCTTCTCCCTTTCGAGACGGCCGAAATACTTCAGGAAAAGCTCAAAGAACTTTGCCAATTGTTGAATACGAGCACCAATGATAACATTCAATCTCCGACACAATCTCCGACAGAAAATCTTGCAAGTTCTGACATCCATTCTGAGGAAGCAGGAGATTTTAGGCGACTGAAACAAATGCTGCTTTTAGTCGATAGGTCTAAAGGCCCATTTCAGCTAGCAACTGGGGACAAACATTCACTTTTCAGGTTTGATTCGCCAGCAGCTACCCGGAAGGCGCGTACTCTGGTCCAAGACTTCAATCACTTTCTCAACAATATATATCAGAATCCTCCCCTTGAACTGTTTCACACGGCAACGAAGAACCAAAGGGCAACTCATGTCTGGGCGCACGCCATAGACCTCCAATATCGAGCCAAAATGGGCAAGATACTTGATTCACTCCATACGGAGTTCCCGAAATGCGAAACCTCAGATACAGTGAACTCGCATAAGGTCTTGATACAGCTCATTGACTCCGAAACTATGCGCCAGCCTGTTTCATTGCTTAGTCTCGACCTCTTCTTGTTCTGTCCAAGTCCCGAACAGGAACAGTGGCACAACATCTTGTGTAGATTCAAACAGTAAGTTTTCTTCGTCACTCAGCCTGAAATTTCTTAACTGATGAATCAGAAATACCATAATACACTCAAGAGGCGATATAACGCTATGCAAGCTCTTGAAGTCTTACTCAGATCGTAGCGACGGTCTCACGCTTGTGTTTAACCAAACCCAAACCGATTTTACCCACCAGATAAAGGAACTTTCTTCACACAACCGAACACCCAATATCAAGCTTTTGGATCTAATCAACCGATTCAATGCCTTTGAAGTTCCGAGTGGAAAGAACCTAGACAAAGACATCTTCAAATATTCTGAACGACGGACATTAGCTGCGAAACTGGCGCTTAATCTTTTGACCTTTTGTGCATGGCAGCATTCCTCAATGTCCTGGGACGACAGTGAGATTTTCTTTCTCGGGTCTTCTCCAAGTGATTATGAGAAAGGGAAGTCTTACATTGAATGCTTCCTTGGTCGAGAGTCGTCAGCTGATACGCGAGTTGAGTCACTTGTTGCTGACCCAATGCCCTCATTTACTAGATTCGCGAAGCTTCTTCTCGAATTAGAATATGGGCCCCTTATGAATGGCGACTACAGTGAGAAGACCAACTATGGATACAACCTGGTCAAGGACTTTTACAAACGCGAGATGAAGTATGGAGACCAGTCGCGGATCTCGTATCTCACGGCAGTCCAGACATGCCTTGATTTTGACAGGATCTATGTACAGGAGAGATGCAAACTTCTTACCCAACTTGAAACGGAAGATGAGACGTGCAGGCGGATCATTCGTACACGTATTGTGGAGAACATCATGAATGACCTGGATACCTCTGTTCAGCGACGATTAAAACATCATCGCCGAATGTCCTCAATATCCAATCCCGACTCCAACAGCAGTAACGACCAGAAATTCGAGGGCACGGGCAAACACTTCGGTCGCCAACGAAAGCGTATGAAGAATCTGGCTCTAGCATCAATATGCTCTGAGAACCCCCATGGCACTCGAGAGGATTCTCGGAAGAGAGCTGAACATAGCCGGACTGACGTAAAGTCGGGCAAAACACCATTAAATATCATTAATGTCCAAGGTAGTGAGCCCCAGGCTATTATTTGTATAGCTTCCAGGACATATCTTGTTTCATCACTCTTGACCTTTCCTTAGCTAATTTATGAAGAGCATCGTCCCAAAATTGTCCCTCGAGAGGCTCCCCAATATTTCGGGGAGCATGGAGAGCTTATGCTGAAAAGGTTCTACCATTATAGCCAGCTCAATGTTAGTCAAGGGACAATTGTTACTGACATTTTGTCAGGTCCGTATCAACTGCGTCGGCAACTTGGTTCGAAAAGTTCGACAACTTAGACAGATTTCTTACCGCGACTTGCGAGGAGACTGACAAAAGATATGAGCAAAACCGTGTAAAAATCGCGGTTATTGACTCAGGTCTCAATGCCGAACGCCAAAACGATGCATATATCACCTATAGGAACTTCATTCCTGATGAAAAGCGCAATCCAGCGTTTCGAGACGACCCTCAGCATGGTACTGACTCTGTGGATCTTATCCGTAAGATTTATGGTCGCGCACATATCTACGTAGCAAAGGTATTCCAAGCAACCGAGGCAGACGCTAACACTTCAACTTATATGGCTCATGTAAGGATTATCATACCGCCTAGTCCTCGCCGGGGCTTCGGTCCTACGATATCACCCTGTTCTTACTTACGTCATATAGGCAGTCCAGTGGGCTATTGAGCAAGAAGTCAACATCATCAGCATCTCTGCTGGCTTCCGCAGAGGCGAAAACGAATATTTGAGTCGCAAGATAGAAGAGGCCACAGCAGGAGGTGACAGGCCAGAAATCCTTGTATTTGCTGCCGCTTCCAATTCGCAAAATATCCACAAGGTCGCCTTTCCAGCCAACATGGAAGATCGAGTGTTCTGCATCTTTTGCTGCAACGGTGGACTGGTGCATTCCAGGCAGTGGAATCCTAGTGCCCTACCTAGTCCTCGCAACTTTGCCATGCTAGGTGAGGATGTTGAGTTGCATTCGGGAAGAACACTGGCCGGGGGAACTTCAATTTCCACCGCTTTGGTAGCAGGTCTCGCGGCAAAGCTGCTGGATTTCTCTCGCCAGCCCCAAGTTCGCGATCGGAGAACATTACTTGGACGTAAGATGCAGAAAAGAGCGGGAATGAGCTTAATCTTTCGGGCCATAGCTTCAAAGGGGAATGATGGGTACCAATACCTGGAGCCATGGGAGATCCTACCTGATCTCAAGGGTCGAAGCCGGAGCAGTGTGAGAGAGGGAATATGTACAATTATTGAGAAGGCTGTGCAGTATATCTGTTAGTATTATCATGAATGGTGGTGTGGTAAAATAGAGATCATCACCAGCGGCCGGTATATGATATCAATTAGCACAATATCAATACGTATCAGTTGAAAATAGATTACTGATCGGCTTAAGTCCTTAGGCTTTTGCATTTCAAGTTCCAAATATTTTTACAACCTATCCTATCTTCACAAACTGGATACTCGTGCATGCACGCCGTATTAGTTTGGCTCGCGCCACAAGCTAATTATCTCAGTATGAATCCATCATGAGAACCGCTGGAGACCCGATATAGCCCGATTTCTTGAGGTATCTGGAGTCCTCTATATCCATCGTCGCTCACATACGGTCTATTTAAGCACAAACGCCATGTCCAAATCCTCATCTTCAATCACAAGGCCAATGTTCTCCATTCCTTCCTCATATACAACGTGGGCGACATCCACTTCTCCTTCATTCGGCGCAAATGTTGCTCCTGATGTCTCAGTAATCATTGACCAGTCCCGCTGTAGTATAACTTCGCCGAGACTTTTAGTTATTTTGGCAAGCCTAATAGCCCAGACGAAATCGGTGACGGAAGAGCCTGACGAAGACTGACTCCTGTCTTCTACCACATCGGTCTGGATCTTGGTTCCAACAATACCTGGAACCGAACTTCAAGACAGATTAGCAAATGAACTCTGAGGACAGCGGAAATATACCTACAGCCCTGTGTTCATATGACCCTCTCCACGCAACTGATCTTTATCGCTTGTCTTCGCGCCACGAGCTATCATAATTCCGGTAATCATGAACAGCTTCCAAGTTCCAAGCAGCTTGTGAGACGTGATATGATCTGCTACAGGGCCTTCAGCCAGGTAATTGTCAATATAAGACTTAACTGGATCGACAATGAAGCAATCCAATGCCTCAAACTCGGCAAAATTCTCCACTGATCCTCGAAAGGCAGCGCTAGCACTCGACTGGACATCAGCACCAGCTGCGACCGCGGCGGGAGCAGTCGCCGAAACGCATGCGTTGACGTCGTGAGACTTGGAGCTATCCCATCTGAAATTAATTGTTCTTGTAAGCCAGACTTTCATTTCACCAGGGAAGACTTTAATACCGCCTCGGTTGATGACTTGATCGAGGTGGTTGAGATCTGGAATGAAATGGCCAAGAAGGACAGGCCCAGTCTCCTGATTCGTCCCCAAAGTACTCACATCTGGGGCAGGATTGTGTGAATGCCTCAACTTAAACCAGACCTTATCCATTGTAGGGAGTAATGATTAAAGGATAATTGGTGGACCAGTAGATGCAAAATCTTGTAGATATGAGCATGCAATAAAAAGTTCCTTGAAGAGGCCTCCAATAAGTACATATGCCCGTACAGCCACGGGTCAGCAGCCAATAGGTTCAAATTATAAGCCACAAGCTGCTTCTTGCAGCTTTGCACATATTATCCATGTTAGTGCATAGACACTCGGCGAATAATAGCTTCAAAACTTGGTCGCGGCCCAGCTAGAAGCAGGCAGAGGTGCACGTCGCTGTGACCGCGGCTTCACCGACCCCGCGCCACCAACATCAGAGGTTAATGGGCAAATTTTTTATTCTGCAAATCAGATCATTTCTTTACAAGAGGCAATTTGACAGAGTGCTCTACTCCGCCAAATATGCAGCTATCAAACCACGATTTGCTCTATCCTAGCTGCATGGCGAATATAGGTCTGAATTTAATAGAAAACATATATAAACTAAAACCACGCTAATAAAGATAGGGACCTGACTTCATTATCCCTAACGAATTTAGGTTACTATTATTAAAAGTTAGAAAAAATTACTTTTAAAAGTATATATTAATTAATAATTATAAAGGCATATTGCATTTTAAATTTTAGCTATTAAAGCTAAGTATTATAATATTGCAGTTAGTTTTAAAGCTAGTTATTTATATTTAGTGTTATTAAAAGTAAATAGTAATTAGTAAATAATTTGCCTTAAGTTAATTTATATATTCCTATATACTTAATAATAACTAAGAAAATAAAAGAAAATAAATATAAAATAGCTATAAAATAAAAGAATTTTAAAAAGCAGTTAAGTTATAATTATAAATATAACTATATATTATATTAATATTATTATAGGCTATTAACTAATAGAGGTTATTTATTTATAGTAATATATATAATTAAGTTAAGGTTAAGGTTTAAGCTATAATAATTATAAAAGTAAGTATATTAATAAATTAAAATAATAATTAATAATTATTAAAATAAAGTAATTAATAATAAACTTATTAGCATTTAATAGTTATAAGCTAATAATATTAATTATAAATAATATAAAACTATTTATAAAACTACTTAAGTTTTTATTTATTATTTATAAAGTATATTATTATATATATATTAAGAAGTAAGTATAGTAGTATTTAAAAAGGCATTATAAGTTAGTATAATTAGTAGAAAGAAGTAAGATTATAATAATAACTTAATATAACCTTAATATTATTAAGAAGTAAAGTAATTTAATAATATAGCTATTACTATTACTAATAATTAATTCTATATTATTTATCTATCTATTAAGCTAGAAAATTAAATATAATAAAAAAGGGTATTTATATATAATTAATATAATATAAGGTATATAAAAACATTATTAAGAAGAATATTAATAAACTAATTCCTAAAAGAGGGGGGGGGAGTGCCTAAAAGCAAGCTATAAAGGTATAGTAAGTATTATAATATATTAAGGTCTAGTATTAATAGTTATTTAGTAATAGGCTAGGTAGTAGTTAATTTAAGGTTAGGTTTAGTAAATAAGCTAGTTAAGTAATGCCTAAGAAGGCAGTTATTATTAACTAAATAAACTAGGTAATAAAGTAGTAGTAGTGCTAATTTAAAATAGAAAATAAGGAAAAGATTAAAGCAGCTAATATAAGGATAAATACTAATATATAATTAAAGCATATTACTTAGGTAACCTATTTAAAAGGATTTAACCTAAAAGCTATATTATAGTTAACTAATTTAGTAAGTAAGTATAAGTATATATTATAGCTAATATAAAATAATTTAATATAAGTAATAAGCTAAGCCTATATTATAGTTATATTAATATAGGTTAATAGCTAGGTATTATTTAAAGTATAGCAGAAAGAAGTAAATAAGAAGTTAAGGTAGCTATTTAATAATTAAATAAAGGATAATATATAGGCATATTATATAATTATATAGATTAAGTTAATATATTATATATACTATATAGAGGCTATAATAAATAAAGATAGGCCTAAGTATTAATTATTAAAGTAATAAAATAAGTTATTTAATAAATTAAGTAAAATTATTAAAGTATATAACGTGTTTTATAAGCGAGTGACCCATATAAGCGAGTGACCCAAAAATCTCAACCTTCTCAATTAAATCGGCAATAAAAATACCACAAATTATCAGATCAATTAAAACTAATCGCTATATTCTTCTAAATTAACCTCAATTTCCTCCTGACAGGTCCTTGTATTATGCCCGGCCCTGCCGCATTTGCTACAATGTAAAACCCTCGGTCCCTTAGACCTTCCGCGACCACCACTTCTCGACGATTCGGCTGCTACCTGCGTATCAACATCCATCTGATCAATTGCTTGTGATGCCTCTTCTATAGTCAAAGGCCCTCCTTTCTGTAGTCTAGTCCTTTTCCCCCTCCGGCGTCGCTTTACTATCCGATTCTCTTGTTCAACTTGTTGAAGCCTATCCTCTAGTAGGACTATCTTATGGATAAGGACGCTTGTTGCCTTCTCAAAATGCTTAACAGCCTCAATAATTGACTCTGGGGAGCTGCTCTTATGGTTTCTAACCCTTCCCTGTAGATATTTAGAATGCGATTGGGCCTCTAGTAGTGTCTTTGGGGTCCTTGCAGTCCAAGGGGTTGAAGGTATCGTGACCTCTGCGGGAGGTGTCGGGGTCCGTAATTGCACATCAAGCTTTGAGATGACATTTTCTGGGTCAAAGGGAGCAAGCCCAGCTCCTCTAAAACCTCCTTTGATATTACTTTCTGTAATAGTAGCTCGGTGGGCGGCATGAAAGGCAGGAAAGAACTCGATCTTGGTGATGTGGTTTATAGAGCATCCCATTAGACGCTCTATTTCTCGCCCATAGGCCTTTTTCAGCGGCCCAAAGCACCCTACATCAAGAGGCTGGAGTAGATGAGAGGCATGAGCAGGCATACAGAGGGTAATAATCTTATTCTCCTCACAATATCTCTCGAATTCGATAGAGTGGTGGCTTTCATGACCATCGAGGATTAAGAGACGATAAGAACCAACTGATCGGTCCTTTGTTGATCGATCAAAGTGCTGTAGCCAGTCAAGACCTAGCTGGTTATTGGTCCATCCATTTTCGCTCAATGCAATGACCCAATCGGCGGGGAGGTTGCATTCTCGGTACCAATTGGCAAGATGATATTGGCCTGAACCAATGATGAATGGTGCGATCGATTGACCTTCTGCATTGACCGCTTGAATCACAGTAATCCATTCACGATTTCCAGGCTGTATCTTCTTTGGTATCCCTCGCCTTTCTGAGCTTGTGACGACCATTCCGGGCTCAATCATACCCATCATAAAGCCGGTCTCATCAAAGTTCCAGATATCAGCTAATTGGATACCGTATTTCGCGATCGTATTCTCTACGAGGCGAAACCAGCCCTGAATAATAGTCGGATCTTCGCATTTAGCTCTCTTATAGTCATATCTCCGAAATCGACATGCCTTTAGCTCTGGTTGTCGTTGGATAAAGTTATGAACCCAGAGCTTGCCGACTGGTAATGCCTCGCGATCGGCAAGTAGAGAATTGGCCATTTTTTCCACAAAATCGCGCCGAGGGGGGAAACCTCGGGAATCTAGGTCAAGGATAAATTGAACTATCGTCTGTTCCTCTAGATCAGATAGGTTCCGTGATTTTGTGGTTATATCACGCTTTGAATGAATGCCATTCCGGCGGCGACCTAAGGTGCGGTGATTGACCTGATATACAGTCGCCGCCTTTCGGATACTTAATTTCGGGTCATTTTGAAGGGCCTGAAGGGCAAGAAGTATCCTAGCTTCATATGAAGGCTGTGGCATATCGGGTTGTTGAAAGATATTGAATTGAATGATGATAATGTAAGTTGAGGGATTTTTGGGTCACTCGCTTATATGGGTCACTCGCTTATAAAACACGTTATTAATAATTTAAATATATAATTATTAAAAGTAAATTAAGTAAATAAGTTAATATTATAAATTATAATAATATTATTAAATTACTATTTAATAGCTAAAAAGTATTATAATATTATTATTAGCAGATTAGTAATAATAGGTATTTAAAAGGATAGTAATTATATAACGGTTATAGTTTTTAAGGGATAAACTAGTCTGTTTTAGGTTTATATTAGCAGATAATATAAGGCATAATGCTAAGCAGTATAAAGTATTATATCTCTTAATAATTAAGTAATATATATTAGGCTTATTAATATAAAGAAGTCTTATTAATAGCTAGTAAGCTAAGATCTATAAAAGTGCTAATAAATATATTCTATATACTAAGGTTATAAAGTAAGAAATAATAGTATATAAGGATACTATTATCTTAAAATATAGCATTTTAAGGATAATAGCGTTCTAGTATTAGTTATCCTTATATAAACTGTATTATAATTAATAATAAGGAAAGTAAATTTATAAGGTATATATAACATAACTATAGGGGTTATAATATAATCTCTCCCCTCTATTAGATCTTATCCTTAAGACCTATATACCCTAGCTATCCTAAATTTCACCTAATGCGTTCTAACCTAAACCTTTTATTATTATATTATGATATATCTAACTATATTTCTAAACAGTATTCCTGCAAGACTTATGCAGAATATAAGCTAGAGAGACTTAAAAAGGAGCATAATATAGCAAAACTTGCCAAATCTGTTATACTATCTAGTAAGCAGGCAGATATGCTATATACTTATTGCTTTTAAGCAGGAACTAGGGAGAAATGTTTAATATCTCCTAACTCTAGTTAGTATAATAAATATATATATAAGCAGAAACCTTATAATAGTATATAAGTAATATCTTCTTATAAGTATTTTCTAGGTTTTTCTTTTTTTCTTTACTAATCTTATATTTTTCTAATATCTATTCTTATAAAATAAGAGAAAAAGCTTAAAGTAAATAAAGATAAAGCTAGTAATAATCTTTTAAAGCTTTATAAAGAGATAATAG